GGGAGGGGGTGTGTCGCGTGCACAGCAGAGTGCTTGTTGGTGTGCACGGTGTCGTGATGCAAGGGCTTGCCGGCAAGGGGGGTGCGGTTGACGGGTCTACGGATGGGTTGAGCCCAGGATTTGGCGGCAAGGTCTGCCCCCACTTCGGATTGGTCTGGGCTCAAGACTGCAGTCAAAGAGGACTGCACGAAACCGTGTGCGTTTTGCATGGCCTCCGCCGCCGCGCGCAGGGCGGTGGCCGCGCAGTTGAAGGAGCGCCGGGCGGCCGCCAAGCGCGCCGCAGCCGACAACACGCGCACGAGCGTTTACAAGGGTGGCGTGGAGATCGGGGAAATCGGGGAGGATGACACCAGGGCTGAGCGGGAGCTGGAGGTGCGCCCGCCTGATGGTTGTTTGGTTCGAGGCTGTCTTGATGCTATTGGGGCGGATGCGGGGACGGGAAGCGGGCTGGGTGCTGCGGCACCTCGGCGTTTCGGGCCTGCCCGTGCGATTTGACCTACATGTCTGGGGGGCATCTGTGCCCGCGGCCAGCCTGCCTGCGTGCGGCTGTCTGCGCGCGGGCGTGCGCGAGCTGCGGCAGCGCCCAAGGGGTGCAAGGAGGCAGCAGCAGCACCATGGCGATCCGACGACCAGCCGCCGGCCTCCATGCTATATGTTGGGCCTGTCCCTCCAAAAGACCCAAACCCAACATCACGAACAACCCAAACAGGAGAAGTACCAACGCGGCCAACAGGACGACGCCCGGGCCGTCAGCCGTGCCCACGCGCAGCGGGAGGCGACCGCGGCCAGCACCGTGGCGTGGCAGCGCGCGCGCGTGCTGCTGCAGTCAGTCGCACCCGCGCGGGACCGCGCCGCGCGCGCTGCCGCCGAGGCGGCCGCCGCAGGGGAGGCGGCGGCGGCAGCGACGGCAGCCGCAGTCGCGGCGCGAGCGCAGGCGAGCGAGGCGCGCGTGCTGTCCTGCGGTGCGGGCCAGTCGCTCGCTGCGGCGTTTGCTGCTGAGAATGGGGCCGTGCCGCAGGCACCCCAGGGGGACAGCGCGCAGAACGCAGGCGCAGACGCTGACGAGGACGGCGATGATGGCCCTGTGGAGTCCGGGAGCGCGGCTGTGGCTGAGGCAGCGGCCAATGTGGCGACCGGCGAGGCCGCGGCAGCGCAGCAGGATTCAAAGCAGGAAGGAGAGCTTGGCAGTGAGGGACAGCAGGAGCGGGAGCAAGAGCAGGATGTAAAGCAGCAGGAGCGGGAGCAGGAGCGGGAGCAGGAGCGGGAGCAGCAGCAGGAGCAGCAGCAGGAGCAGCAGCAGCAGGAGCAGGAGGAGCAGCAGAAGCTAGAGCAAGAACGGAAGCAGCAAGTTGAACAGCAGCAGGAGCAGGACGAGCTGTCCCAGCAGCAGCAGCAGCAGCAGCAGCAGCCGCCGCCGCTGCAGCAGCAGCAGCAGCCAGCCGCCGGCGCGGCTGAACCCCCCTCCCTCGAGGCCATCAACGCGCGGGGCCGCGAGCTGTTCGCCGCCGGCGACGTCCCCGGCGCGGTCGCCGCGTGGCGCCAGGTCGTGCTGGATGACCCAGAGCACGCGGGCGCACTGTGCAACCTGGCGGCGGCGCTGAGGGCGGCCGGCGACAGCCTCGGGGCGCGGCGGGCGGCGACGGACCTGCTTGCGTTGCCTGAGGGGCGCGCCAAGCCGGAGCAGCGGGTCAAGGCTAAGCACAGGTAGGGGGGGTGCAGTGGCAGCTGCTTGTTTGCGTGCGGCCGGGGGCTGGGCCGCCTTTGCAGCGATTGGGCGTGTCCCTTGCTTGCGAAGCGTGTGCCGGGAGCGCCCGTGTTCCCTGCACATTCCTCTTGCCAGATGCAAGGGCTACGACTGATGCGAGCGATAACCATGTTGCGCGGCGCGGTGCGGCAGCCTGCCGCCGCTGCACCATGCGCAGGGCCTGTGTGCGCCTTGAAGACCCGTTGCAAACCTCTGTTGTTGACGCCCACTTTCCTCCTCCCTGCGCCGGTACGACAGCACCCCCGACACCCAAACGCTGCCAGCCCTGGCTGACACCCCCCCCCATTTTGAAACATCCCAAGGCTGGCCCTCGCACTCGAGGACCTCGGAGAGTTCGAGGAATCGCTGTCGCTGCTGTCCGAGGTTGCCGAGGTGCACGGCCAGGCGCAGGGGTGCCACTCTGACCTGGTTCGCCTGTCGGACAAGGTGCGGCGGCGCCGCGAGTCCGATGTGCGCGGGGCAGGCTCCCTCGGCGGCGCGTCGGCGGCTGCGTCCGGCGGCGGCGCGCTCGGCGCGCCGGACGCGGGTGCGGCGGCGCTCGGCTGGGTGGAAGACGAGGAGGCGCCCGTGGCCATTGGCGCGTCGGCACTGGCGGCGGCCGGCGCAGCGGCTGCTGCCACAGATGTGGAGCGCGCCAAGTCCGCGGCCGCGGCGCCTGCCGCGGCGGTAAGAGCAGAGGCGGCGGCCGGCGCACGAGTCAGGGGCCGTTTTAGGGTGGTTGAAGAGTCGACAGATTCGTCAGAGGAGCCCGAGGACGAGCCGGCGCCGGCCGTGGATGCAGCCCGACCGGGCTCCGCGCCGCCCGCCGGCGCCGCCGGCGCCGCGCGGGGGCGCTTCACCATCGTGGCGGACAGCTCTGATGAGGAGGAGGAGGAGGAGGAAGAGGGCGGCGGCGGCGGCGCACCGCAGGGAGCGGGGCATGAGGGCCACCAGTGGCAGCAGGAGGGGCGGCAGGGGCAGGAGCAGCAGGCGCGGGACGCGGCGCAGGAGCCAGGGTCTTCTGGACGGGAGGCGAGGGCCGGCCGGGCGCCCGAGGCGCGGGGCGGCTCGCAGCAGGGGCCGCAGGGCAGCGGCGCCGAAGGCGTGCCCACTGCGGTCCCCGAGCAGGCGGCAGGGGAGCCGACGGTGCCGCTGTCAGTAAGCATCCCCGGCCGCACGACAGCGCTGTGCGTGCAGCTGCCCGAGTCCGTGCTTGGTGAGGCGCGCGCGGCGCATGAACTGGACACCCGGCTGGCCAGCGAGGGCTTCACCCGCGTTTTCGAGGCCGCCCGCAAGAACATTGACAAGCAGCGGCGTGCCGGGGGCGCCGGCGGCGGGAAGGGCGAGGGGGCGGAGGAGGGCGACTCGACGGCCATGCTGCAGGCTCTGCAGGCGCAGGTTCAGGAGCGCAAATCCGCGGTTTTGGCCGCGCTGGGCGGCGGCGAGCGGCTGCTGCGGGCGGGCAAGGCGGCCGAGGCGCTGGCGCAGCTGCGGCGGGCGGCGGAGCTCGCGCCGGGGGACGCGCGCGCGCGGGCGCTCGGCGCGCAGGTGAGGGGGGCGCGGCGCGGCGCGGGGGGAGGGATGCGCATACACACACACGCACACAAACACACTCACACATACATAGACACACACGCGTGCACCTGCATACACACGCACACACACACACACACACACACACATCCATGTCTAAATGCACTCACAGCTGCCTTCCTCTTTCGCACCACGCACAAATCCACGCTGGGACGCTCGCATGCACATCACATAACTCAAGGCTGTGAATTGCTCCGCACCGCAACCCCATGCACTACGCCACCCCAGGCATATCTGAAGCTGCGGCGCCCGGAAAAGGCGCTGCAGGAGGCTTCTGTCGCGCTGGCCCTGCAGGCCGGCTTTGATGGCTCGCGCGCAACTACCTGGGCCCCAGAGGACGGCTCCTGGGCAGCCGGCGTGCTCGCGCGCCGCGCGGCGGCGCTGAGGCAGCTTGGCCGCACGAAGGAGGCTCTGCAGGTGCGCGGCGCGGGCGCGCCGCTGGTGCGAGGGGGTTGCACGCTCGCCGTGCAGCCCGCAGCGGCCGCGTCCCACGGTTGGAGCAGCGCATCAGCCGTTTCGACAGGGCCGCGAGCTGCAGCCTTGTGCTGCAGCTTGTTGCCCCAAGCAGACATAGCATGCGTCGTGCCTGCTGCTTCACACGTCCCCTGGCGCTCCCCTGCGTTGCCCCCGCTGCAGGCTGCGAGGCAGGCGCTGGCCGCCGACCCTGCTGACCCATCGCACTCCCAGCTGGAGGCGCAGCTGCGGGAGCTGTACAGGCAGGAGGTTGCGCAGCAGGTGGCCCTTAAGCAGCAGCAGCAGCAGCAGCAGCAGCAGCAGCAGGGCCAGACGCAGGGGCAGCGGAAGGGGGTTCAGGAGGGGAAGCAGGCCGGGGGCGCAACCGCTTCTGCTGCGGTCGACACTCAATCGGCCCGGAAGGCGCGAAAGGCGGCAGCCCACAGGGAGCAAGACACGGCCGCTACCGCCGCCGCGGAGCCGAGTGCAGCGGCGCCGCCCGCCAGCCAGCAGCCTGGCGGCCCGGCCGCCGACGAGGCCAGCGCCCCGCGTGCGGGGGCCGCGGCTGGCGCCGTGCGAGTGGAGGCGGAAGCGGCGGCGGCTGAGGCGGCGGCTGAGGAAGCGGCTGAGGCGGGGGCAGCGGCGCGGCAAGGAGGGGATAGCCAGCAAGTTGTGGTGTGGCGAATGAACCCGATCACCGTCGAAGAGGTCAGCGGCGGCGAGTCGGAGGAGGAGGAGCAGGAGCAGGAGCAGGAGCAGGAGCAGGCAAAGGGACAGGATGCAGGGCTGCAGGAGGGCGGGCGCGTTGGGCAGGCAGGCAGCGGCGCAGGGAGCGGGCAGGAGGGCGTGCCGGCCACCGCGGCCGGCGGCCCCGGCCCCGTGCAACAGGCATTCGCCAACGGTAATGGTGTGCACGCTGAAGACGAGGCCGCGCCGCCTGCTGCCAACGGCACGGGCGCCGCGGTTGCGGCCGCGGCGGGGCCGACCGAGGCTGCAGCGGCGCGCGTCATCGCCGGCCTGGCCGGCCGCAAGCCGCCGCCGCCGCGCAGCGCAGTCGACATGCACAAGGCCTTCCAGTCGCTGCTGCCCCGGCAGCAGCAGCAGCAGCAGCAGCAGCAGCAGCAGCAGCAGCAGCAGCAGCAGCAGAAGGTGCCCGATGTGCTTGTCGATTACGTGACGTCCATCCAGCCGGGCCAGTACAAATCCATCATCAAGGGCGGCCTTGATGCCGACCTGCTGGCCCCGCTGCTGGCCGCCATCGCAGCAGCTGCGGGCGCCGGCCCAGGCGGCGCCGCGTTTGCCGCCGAGGCGCTCGCCGCGCTCGCGCGCGTGGAGCGCTTCGGGCTGGTTACGATGATGGCGCGCAGGGGGCGCGGCGCGGGGGGCGTGGCGGGCGACGCGCGGCGCGCGGTGGAGGCG